AGAAACCTGCTACGCAAGTTATCTATGATAAAATGTTAAACGTTAATAAGTAAGAAAGCAACCATGTTACGGTGGGTTTAAGTGTTTTGTTCTTTTTAACTTATATACGGTTTATAATGCTAATACGTTTAATATCATAGTGGTAATTTAGTTATTTAACGTTAAGTTTTTTTTGGACATGATTATGTATTGGCTGGTAGACATTGAAATGGCAAATTATATTTTCATTGCTAAGACAATGTTTAATAGTAATTCAATATAGTTCACATAAGAAACGGCAATCAATAGTTATTATGTAATAAATTATTGATAAATGTCTTTTAGCTACCGAAAAGAAGGTATTATTGTTTGGTAAAATTCTGTAAATGGGTATAATTCGTCGTTCTATGTTGGATAGTTTGCACTATTATTGAAGTTTGAAGGTTGTTATATAATGAAGATTTTAGCGTGTGTGTCTGTAGCATAACGAATTTGTGATGTATATAGTTGGAAGGGTCACGTATTATGTTTTGTGTTAGTCGCAGAAATAAATAGATTGTGGTCAAACGTTTATTTTAACCGACATCTACTATAATATGATACCTTATCAATAGATGGCATTTATGATAATCTATTATGATACATAATAGTACAGTATTTGTAACATAGCCTTTTAGAAGGTCATGTCAAATGTAAAAATATATCATATTTGGAATGGATAAACAAAGATATATCAGACAGTTTGTTGTCAACTTTTTAGTAAAGTAAATATACTTTAATGGGACATGCTTATTTTTGCGTTTGAACGTGACAAAGAATTATTTATTGATTTATTAAAATCAAAACAAGAAAAAATTAGCAGTCGGGTGTTATAAATATATAAATTTATTGTTAGAATGTACATTATTTTAGTAGTCAAAAACGGAGGACAACGTTTCATAATGATTAGTACATTAAATATTCTATTGACAAGTTGTTCATTTTTACGAGCTAACGATGGTTTCCGCACAGGAATGGTGGAAATAGTCCAATGTTGGTAAAAATTATCTGGGAGAGCTGTGAACTGAGTTAACGCGATAGAATTTAAAAACTGATTATTTTGAGGAGGGTTGGCGTCCGTTGAAAAGGTCTGGTAAGAAAAAGTGTGACGATGCATTTAATTCCGATGAATTATTATAATCAGTGAGAAAATATTGTAAGACATAATGATTGTTTGTCTGTATACAATGTTATAAGTCACATTTATAAATGTTCCTGTTATCTTGGCGAAAAATGCGGTTATTATTGTACGATTAAATGGCGTAAGTTTATTAATTCGACTGGTTTGAGTCAAAATACAAATTTGGATAAGAACGTTTTTGAACAATTGATATGGTGAGCACAAGACGCTTTGCGCAATGCATTGATCAATTGTCATTGTGAAGATGTAGTAATTGTTTACAATTTTCAGAATAGTTGGTCGAGCCCATTTTTGAACAATTGATATTGTATCGCTGGTAAGCATTTCGATCAATTGGCGTTGTTTAATTTGTTTCATTGGCGTTGGGGGTTGTTTACATGCACTAGACATTTAAATCTATCTAGCTTTTCGTTTTTCGGGAATGGGTGGCGTATAGGTGGTGGGGCTTTTTTTCTGATTACCAAACACTTGGTTGAGATATCGGCGTAGATCATTTAAGTATTAGTATTAGTGTTAGTACTGATCTGCGTAAGTTTACGTTGGTCCAATAAAAAGCGTTGGAAAAGGTCATATGATAAGAGCTGTCAGTGAAGCAAAGAATATAGAAAATTTAGGCTTTTCTTAAACAGTAAACCTAAGATCCAGAAATACAATGTATAGTAATAAATAATTGTACGGTCGGGAAGTTGGTTATATAGTATAATGACGAAACGCGCCGGTATTTGATAATTCTATTATGTACGTTATTTTATAAAAAATTTGATCGACACAATTGTTTATTGGGTTGTTGTCCAAATTGGTCCAAGTCTAATAGGAGATTAGCCGATCTACCAGATATAGTAAGTCATAGGGATTTAACAGACGTATTCGAGATTCTGGAAAAGGATTCTGCGGGAAAACAATACTACATTGTGGAACAAAAAATTTTTGTTATATAAACGACCTTTGTTCGTAAGCTTATGCATAAGCTATAAGCCATAAGCATAAGCATAAGCATAAGCTATAAATAATAATACTATTAAAATTCAAAGGCCGTTTTGGTGGTGATCATTTCTAAAAACGTAAAAGAGATTAAGCAAAAGGCAAGATCTACATCGCAAAGCAGATACAATTGGTAGGCGCCGGAGCACGTGGAAAATAATGAGGGGTTGGATCTTTAAATTATGCTAATTTAGTAATATTTTCATGCTTACAGGGAAGTGACAAAATTAGTCAACAATGTTAGGTGCATTATTTATTGCTTTAAATATTTATATTGTTATAATATATATGTAGTAAAGTCAAGAATTGTATATAAGTGCCAACTTAACCATTGTTAGATGATATAATATTAGGATAAGTTATACAAGATGGGTGAGCCATACAGATAGAAGCTGCTTAATATTAAAGTAACAATTTTTAACTCAAACATGATAATAATAACACAAAAAAAAACTCAAATTAATTTTTTTGAAACTAAAAACACCTCCCAATTGACCCATTCAAAAGACTGATCTGATGAACTTATTGCAACTTGGTATGAATCTTTCCTAGCATAAGGTCTTAATGCACCATTACCAAAATAAAGATCAATACCCTTTCCAAAAGCAGGAAAATGGCTCTCAACATCACGAATAGCATGTGTGCTATCACCAACAAAACTTGCTGTGTTCTTATTCATATTTTTATCTAGTGCAAATATAAAGCTATTTTTAGTGTCAACCCAATCACTATTACTATGACTATTACTATTACTATGAATACCCCATGCCAATGGGTTATATCCACCAAGTATTTCTTCAGTTTTCAACACCTTCCCAACAGTGATTGTGGGCCCTTTGTTATTACACAATTCTCTAAATTTTGCAACTGTAGCACCATCTCTACTTTGTCTATAAAGCAGAGTAAATCTATAAACATCATCTTCCTTTCTCTTTCTGGAAACACTTTGTGTATGTGTTGTTGATTCCACAATCATTGAAGAAATCCATGTTGCTTGTTCTTTGTCAATGATAAGTGAATCAATGTGACATCCTTGTCCTGTTCTTGGTGGCAATATGGGAATGCTTGGTTTGTAAGCTTTATCCATTTGATAGTTGAGTAGATCACGGCCCAACTTTCTTGGTATTAAGTCATAGTATGAAACAATCTTGTCAGAGGAGACACTGAAAAATCTTATATGAGGTATGAAATCTGCTATGATGTCTTTGACTTTGTTAATGTTATCAGGTGACCAGTCATCTAGATTATTTCCAAGCTGTATATGTAGTTCAGGCACTTGCTTGGTAGCCCATTGTAAAACTGACATCCAAATATCATCTTCATTCATGGTGAGCACATCATTCTTGAGAAGAGCTAGCAGGTTTTCCTTTGGCAAGGTTGCAAAATCATTTGATTTAAAGATAATTTCTGGGTGGACAACCATGAGTTGATTGCAATAGTCAAGCAGTTTGTTCAAAGCAACTGTGGATGCAGCATACTTGTGAACTGTGACAATATTTCGTTGAATCCATTCCTTTTGTTTGTCAATCAAAAAAGTCTCAAGTGTACCAAGGAGATCAAAGAGTTCGAGTTTGTTAGCTCCATCCAAAAGGCTGATCCAACCAACGTTCTTGCATACATCATAGGACATTTGCCCAGTGTAAATATACCTATGAATATGAATCCACAAGTTACAGTATTTATTAGTATCAACTCTGTATTTGTAATCCTTTGGACGATACAAGACTCTACTACCTGAGCAATATTTCAAAAACGTCTGGTTCCAAATCTTCAAAGGTTACAGTTATGGCGGCCTTCTGAATCTCATCCATTAACTTATTCTCGAAAAATGCACTTCTTGCACACAATACCACGGTATGAGCAAGAAAGATTTTACTATTTGGCTCCTTTCCAACATAGATCGAAATATCAGTATATTTGCAATTTTCATACAGTTTCTCATAGTCAATTGAGAGCTTGGAAGACAAGTCAACAAATTTATTCATTTTCTACAAAGTTCAAAGATATTCCAGGTCGACACTTGTGAAAGACCGAATAATAGATAAATATAAACGCCCAATTTTGGTCACGTGCGCATTCTGTTGCTTTGAGAAAATGATGCAAGTACACGAGGGTGTAGGTATGTACCTATGTTGGATGAGTATATATCGGGTCGAGGACGGTGTTTGATTTACAAATTTACATAATCAACAAACTCGTCCATAGTATTTTTTTTAAACGTCTGCTTCATTCCGTTGATTGTGCTTATACTGCGCTTTATACAACCAAGTTCAATGACATAAATGATAATCTAGTTATGATTAGCTAAATCGCATTCTTTTAATAAATATATGTTCGGCTTGTTGATATCATTTAGTAATAATTAATTCTATCTTAAAAGTTTGATCGTGTACACAAATAAATTAAGTTAACTTACATACGACGCAGGAAAACTTTGGCGTACAGATTACAAGTGTCTAGGAAACATCCAACGATGGCTATCTGAGAAATTATCACTGTCCGCTCGTACCGCCTGGCATCCATACTGTTGACCATCAGTACCGCAAGATCGTTCTGTCTTAATAGCAAAGTGTCAATATAGTCACACTATGACATTTCCCACCAGATCATTATGCCTTGAGACTTGAAGCATGAACAAGATGTTACGGGAAAGCGCTTTTTTCTTCCTTCTCCCGGCCACGCATTATATAGAATCGTCATATCCGAACATCCGCAAGACTTGAGATATCCGTACGAGACTTTTTGCTGATAACCGTCACTCGTCGTTACTAGTAAATCAGAAGCGCACATTATCCATCGCACTATCACTGTTCCTTCTCACCCGCACCGCACTCATCTCCCAAAGCCTCAAAACTGACCCTTCGCTGCTCTAGTGCAAATGCATTATTCGGATCGGCCTTTAACACAACTTCAAAGTCATCCAACGCTTTTGCATATAGTCCTAATTCGTTATAAACTGCCGCACGATAACCATACAAAAATGCCGACTTTTCTCCACCGGATATAGCACAATCCAGATCCTCGAGCGCTCTTGGATATTCTCCCTTTGCAAAATACACGCATCCTCGTATACCGATAGCACCCAAGTCATCGCCCGACTTTTCCAACACCTCATCGACATCGCTTAATGCGTCATCGAAGCGTTCCAGGGCCAGATATACCTTTGCTCTTCTTTTTACCCAGTACATCTCACTCGGCTCAAATATGTGAGCCATATTCAAAAACTTGATAGCCGTATCATGTTCCCCCAACTTATGGTAAACGCACCCGACAATCCCCAGTACGTCCGCATTCTCTGGTTCTACGTTGACAGCTCGCTCGAGATCTTTTTTCGCTTCGATCACATTACCCAAGGCTTGATACACGGCCGCACGGGTAGCATATGCAGATCCATTGTCAGAGTCAAGGTCGAGTACCATTGCGAGATCGTTCAGAGCGGAAAAGTGCGATTGTTGTAATCGGTAAACGTCGCCGCGGAGTGACCATGCACGCGAAGTAAATGGCTCGAGCGTCAATGCAATTGACAAGTCTCCCAGTGCGGATGCGTAGTCACCAAGCATACGATAAGCGCATGCGCGATCGCAATACGTATCGTAAGACTCGGGATCAATTTGCAGAACAGATGTGTAATGTCGTATCGATTCCGTATAGTTGCTTTGCGCATATGCCATCTGTGCAGCCTGAATTGCTTGATCGGGGTCCAGAGATACTGATGTCGTGGATAAAACAGTCGAGTCTGAATCTAAAGGAGATGAGTTTAGTGATTCAGATGTTGCTGAAAACGTAAACCTAGGTGCTGACCCAAAAGGTGGGTTAGTGTTGAGTTGAATAGGCGAGGGGGTCGTCGATGTGGATTGAGTGGGAGGTGAAAATGTGAATTGAAAGTCATCGCTAAAAGGAATCGATAATCGAGACGTTTCCGTATCAGGTGAGACAGTCTTGGGTTTCGGTGTTGACTTGCGAGATGGAGGTGGTGTCTCTAAAGATAAATGTGACGAAGCAGACTTTGATGATGAAAATGCATTTGTTGAGTGCTTTCTTGGAGTTGATTTCGACGCCAATGGTGATGATTCAGGTGACTCTGCGGGAGATAATAAATCTACAGAAAATGAAGGTATAAATGGAGGCGTTGTGGAATGAAGATGGCTATCCTGCGTTGCATTGTTCCATGAAAAGCTGGCAAGAGGCGATATAACAGAGTCACTATCCGGCTGTTTTCCCTGTGCAGTACGCTAGCAGTTAAAGAATTTGTTAGTTACTATTATGTTATAGACTTGCTGTTTATTCGATCGTATCTTCTCACCTTGTTAGAAGTCATCCTTCCCACATTCAATCACATTCAGTTCAGTTAATATTGCGCTTTAACGTTTGAATGTAACGCAACCACGTGATCAAAGGAAAGTTAGAACGAAATCCACATTTTGGGGGTTAAACAAGTTTTTCGTTAGCCAACTAACTGAATATATACGGCAAATCTTAAACGAAAGAACTACAAGAATTACCGCAACATTGTTAGAGGGGTAGAATTGCATCATCCAATAAATACTAACAGTTGCAGCTCTTTGTATATACCATATTAATCCCCCGTTATAACTGATCCTTATGCTGACAAAGACATTCGACAGGGTAAATCGAATTTTTTTGCCACAGATGAGTGTGAGGTCTTGTCGGGCGGGCAAAAGTGTTAATATTAAATCACGAACCTTTTCAATAGTACAGCGTATTATACTAAATTACATGGGAGCTAGTCAACACTGGTTTGCCTATTACTAAGCTTGCAATACCACCAATCATATGGAATACATGAATGACATAAGTTATCCAGTATCCGCTAGTGTAGAACGCAAAATTTAAAACGTCAACAACGCCTCGGAAAATAAACCTAGACTATATACAACTTTGACTTTTTTTTTCGTCATACTGTAAAGTAGTAGTTTTGCTAACGTTGCACGGTAAATTCGCCTTTTTACTAAAACTGATAATCTCCCATAGCATTTCGATACGTCGTACCGAATTCGCATGACCGAATATTTATTGAAATTCTTCGACATATCGTTATGCAGATTAATCGCAAAAGTTTATTGGGTTGATTTTCTTATAGGCAAAAAAAGATAATGATTGTGATACGTTAACATTAGAATTGATTCAACCCTTACAATGTAACTTGATTGGATTAATTTGCGTACTTAAAACTACATATTATTAAGTTATACCATATGCAATTACAGAACATCGATCCAACGAGATATCAGCTTATCTCACAGCATTTTAGTTAATTATCTGATCAAACCTTTCAATCTTGTCGGCCGTTGTATCTGGAGAAATGTAATACTATTTAAATCTCAAGCTACAAAAACTGACCTTAAATGTTTCATTATCTGATTGGAAAAAATTCTTTGTTAATAGTACTTTCTTTTTGTCTCTAATTGTAACCGTCCTCATGCTTGACAAAAAAAAGAAGGTCATAACTGTACAGTTACATATAAGCCGTATGTTTTAATGATAATCATAATCACCTATTAGAAGGTTAGCATAAAGTACATTTCCATCGCCGGTGTTACTTGCTTCACGGCAATAACCCTAAGAGAGACGGCAAGAAGCCAAAGCGTAGTTCTAGTTGCGCCGAACGGTCAAATAAGTATGTGTTAAGCCGCGTGTGCTGATTAGTCTATGTGATTATAGAAAGCACAAATAAAAGTGTACAAGAACTTTATTATGTGTTAGGTTAACTATTAGGAATAAGTTCTGTATTGTCTTGCAAGTGGTTTCCATTAATACGATAGCTGACAAGTGAAGTAGAGTAATAATACGGCACATACTACAGTCACCGTTCACAGCTGTGTTCGCAAATTTTATCCGCGCTTTCAAGTAAATTATTAATGCCAATTCACTTATCGATTAAGTCATTTCAACTCCTCTACCCATTAAAATTTTATTACCAGCTTATACTTCCATCACAATCTTTCGAGTTCAAAAAAGCAAACACCAATCAGTTACCACAAAAATATTCCTTCAATAAACAAATCTGATCAATCAATAGAAATTTATCGCGGCATGAAAGTTATCATTCATACATTCTGTCACAACAAGTGTTGACATTAATAGTTCGGCAGGCTAACATGGACGAGACGCTTATTCTTTCAGATAAAAATCATTACTATAGCCGTCAGACTGCAAACTTTCTACCGCAGTAAATCTGCTGGCGCAAGCATGTCGCACCATGTGTGCAAAACTTGACACACAGCCAATAACCATAGCGGACATAGACTTATATACATATTCGCTTATTTATTAACGTTAACTATTACACTTTGCAGAAAACTGAAAGTTCTACAACTGACTCGATGAGTTCTAGCTCAACAACTAGCTATGTATCAGATGATTTTCTCACAATAAGTGCTCCGAGTGGTTCTTCAACGGTAACCAGGAATAATTTTCTCAATATTAAAGATATACTTCAACTAATGGAACGAGGACTTACGCCAACAAATGCACAAATAAAGGGATTATTGACGGGCTTGAAATATTCTGACAATATACTGTATATGCACTCAAATACCTTCTCGAATATAAAGGAGATTCTGTGTCAGTGGATATGCTAAAATACAGTTTTGGAAAGTCTATGTGCCCAAGGAGTTGATAATACGTTTTCGAATGAAACATTGGAATGGCGATTACGTGTTATTATTACTATACTAGAGCAAATATGTAAGGAAAAGTGTCTATTTACATGCCAGTTTCTTGATGAATTGTTCTACTAAAAAATATTCCATATTAATATATTATTACTAGCGCGATGTGTTGACAAATTAGCGTGCGTGCTTTACTATATTATTTTGTATGGTTATTGAATTGGGGATTACGGGACGTTGTTTATGCGTTGGACGCAAATCATGATTGACGTATTGACTTTAAGGATTTAACGGCTGATTCATAAACCGGTTTGGTATCTATTTCTAATAAATATCAGGTATTCCTATGCATAACACTTTATGATGTTCGAGATTTATGCTTATTATTTTTTATTGAATAACAACTGTATTTAGACAAGTGCGATTAATGTCAAGCCGAAAGTAAAGTCGCTTTATCTCTGCTTGTAAACCACACAAGTTAACACTCGTGTTTTTTGCTTTTTTGCGCACAACAACGTGGATGTCTATACTATGGGTCATCAGATTGGCAGGAGAAACCTCTTCAACTCGTTTTGAATGTGAGACGCTTTTGAGTAGTTTGAATCGACTGTACCATTAGTAGCTCGCTTTGTGATACAAACATTATGGTAAGCAGTTACGGGTATTTTAAAACCGTATGCGCATTAGCTTTTATATTTAATACAATTTTGTATCAAATACCTGTATATAATAATATAGTTCGTATAAGCTGTTGTTTACTATGTCGTACTAGTTTAAATATTAGCTAGTAGCAATATTATATGCAAATATTTAATTGTAGTAGCGTGAGCCAATTATATTTCTACAACCCAATAAGCAGCTGTTACAACAACTTTGCTCAGTTATTTTCCCAAACTCCGTTTTGTATTTGGTCTGGTTGGACGCATACGTAAAGGAAAAATAGTTACATTGTTTCTCAAGAAAGCTCGAATTTCGATATTGAAAATTCGCTATGTATCAGGATCCATTGAATGTGTGTTTCGTAAACCTGTGAAAGTACATGGCGTAGTTGTAATTTGGGTGTGATGATGTGAATATAGTTAAGACGTTGTTACCATAATATCAACAGGCCATCATTATATCACTATATCATTATCACTATATCACTATATTACCATAATCAATACAATGTGTTGAGAAAATAATGGCGCACAAATAAACTTGTATATCTCAGCAATTACCCAACGGGGACTTATTTTAAAACTTATAACCTACTTTATTAAGTATAGAAATTTTAATACGAAATTCTATCCCCATTTTTTTGTAATACTAGTTTGCACCGATTTGTCATAATCTGACTGAATTTTGTACCACCTCCTGAGGAAATGTATCCCACTCGTCTACCATAAATTCCTTTAACTTGCTAATATCTTTAGGCATTTTTTTCCACGTTGTTTTTAACTATCTGTCCCATATTCTTGATGGAATTCAGATTGGCCACTCCATTACATGAATGTTGTTTTGAGAACAAAATTCCTTTGCAACAGGTGAAGTGTACTTGGGATCATCATCTTGTTACAGACGCCATCTTCTACCATAGATCTGTTGGACGAACGGAAGAAGCTGGGTTTGCAAAATATTTACATAAAAGGGACCATTCATTATTTCTATAAGACAAAACAAGGACGTTTCGAAATTCCACCCACCCCAAAGCCATTACCTTTTTGTCGTAATTTCGGTAAATTTCTAATCGGCCTTTCTCCCTTCTTTAACCGTCGTGTTATTTTATTATGAAACAGATCATCTGTGAAGATAGCATACTTCCAGTTATCATTCAAGTGAGCTTGTACCCATGCTTTTCGCGCATAAATATGATTATTGGTGAGCATTGGGGTAGCAAGTGGTATGGCGCTTTTATATCCCTTTTTCTTCATGTGTCGCCAAATGTTAGTATGCGAAATAGATACGTCATACGTTTCTTGAATTTTGACTGCAAGTTGACGAGTTTGTCATGGCTAAATTACGACAAACTAATTGTCCGATCGAACGGGATATGGTTTGTGCAATCTTAAGCGAACGACCGTTGCCACCTTTATGTTCGATGGTCTTTGTTGTTTTGAGATTATGTTGAATCCTTCGAAGGGGAATTTTCGTATTTGGTGTATTCTTTGGCAGAACGAATTCCATTTAGCCAATAATGTAAAATTGCTTGATGTTGTGCTTCGAGCATGTTTACAAGGTTCAAATGAGAAACTATTCAAAGAAAAAGGCAATTTACTTTTGCAAATGCAATTAAGGACAAGTAAAATAAACTTATACAAATATAGAAGCCATGCCATGTAAACAAAGCCGTTTTTTTTTTTTTGTTATTCAAAAAACAAATTGTGATATCGGTTAGATCGTGATTGCCGCAAGATTCGGTTATGAGAAATAATTTTTTTTTCTGTCACATGATATTAGCTTCTTAAAAATTAATAAATTATGATACATTCGACAAAAAGTTGTTTCGCCTGATATAAATTATCCGCAATATTCAACGTCTTCTGTTTTCTTACAATTAAGAACTGCTCTCGGCTTACTACTTTTTTCAACACATCAATTTTTTTTGCCTTAATTAGCATCAACGACGAGTTTTGCAGTTGCAAAAAAAAGTAAATGTTTTTTGTGGCGAAATTTCTGACCCTTTTCTTGTTGCACTAATTCGGAA